CCCCCCACATACCGCTCACGAGGGGAAAATCGACCATGAAAGACGACTTTACCGTTTGCTAAGTTATCAAAGATTTCTCAGAAGCCCTTATACGGCGCTTCCAAAGCCCTCCAAAAGAGAAAAGGTTGCTGGCTTCCTACTGACATGTCTTTGGGACCATTCTTCTGTACATTATCGAGCCCTTTCAGAAGTTTAAGGAGTAATGATTACAATTTAAGTTGCCCAGCGTAGTAGACTTTATTCCAAGCGAAAAAAAGCAGGATCAGACATTACCCAAAAATCAATGCTGCTCCGAAAGTCGTGGATAACAGATGCCACCAGAAAAACTGCAGTCAATGAGATGACATCGGCTTTTGCTGAATTCCAGGATTACTCACAAAGATGAAAAAGTTCGACAGACGGATAGGTGTTGCCGAATGTTGGTGTGCTACCAAATTGAAAAACGAATCAAATCAAAAATCAGTAGTTCATAGGGGGTTCCGACCGGAACAGCCGACCACCTACCCCTTGTATTTGGTATGTAAGCTCAGGTACATTCCGTGGAAGGAAAGGTGAGGGTAGGAAATCGAACTGCGCCATTGTGCTCTATATCTTGTTCACTCTATAGGAATCCGTCAGGTTTGTCCGTCCGCTTTCCAGCCTGACTCAATACTGACAGGTAGTAGAAGAGTCCTTACAGCCGGAGGCGTTTTTTCACCCATTAAGAATTATGAATGGCTCAATTAAAGGCTTGATGCCGATGTAGTGGTAGGTGTCTTTGTCGTCGTCGTACGGCTGGCTGTCTGTTGTCCGCCGAGTTGCTCAGGAAGGGGCGTGGCCAAGCCTCACTTCACTCGCAACCGCGATGCGAACTTGTCTTCTCGCCTGCTTACTGCTGATTACAGCATCGTCGTTTGTCGATGCTAAGGTAACTTACTAATTACTCTTTGGCTTCCTTAATAGTCCCTTTTCATTTGCTCATTTGAACTTGTCCATTAGCATCCCGACGTAGTGGCTCCCAATTTCGGTAGCTCCCAACCTTCAATCGGTGAATTTTCTTTAGCTCCCTCAGCCATCATGATTCCCTTTTATGGAAAGCTACACCACGATCAGGGAACTCCAATCCAACTTAAAAAGGCAATTTCCTGAACGAAACACTTAATATCTGCGGCTATCTCATTCGAATCCCCGGACGCCATAAACCCGCCCCCGCGGCTACCGTATCCCGGAACAAATCCTTCGCCTCTCCCTTTTGTTAGCGAAACGTACTATAATATCGTTAGCGAAATAATAATGTGATGAACACATGCCCAAATCCATAAAATATTGATTTTTCAATCTGCAAAACTTAATTGATTGATTAATTGATTGATTGCTAGAAAAAGAGTGATCTCGACGAGCTCGAGAGCCTTTTGGAAAACATCGATGAAGATCAGGACAACGATGAAGCAGCAACCACCAAATCGACGAAGCCGGTGAAGGCGGCCAAGAAACCATCTGGTGAGTCCCTTCAGTCTACTCTTCCTTCTAATCCTCCTTTCCGTTTTTCTTCTCCTTCTCATCGTCTCTACCCCTCGCTCTCTGCCTTTCCCTCAGCATCAGCAACAAGTGCATCATAGATCTTAGCAAAGTGAGCGCTTTCTCGATGAGAATCTGCTAGTCGACGGCATGTCTGGAAGGACAGGCGCGTCATTGCCTGCAACGGGATCTCCGAGCAGGCCCTGATATTTCCATTCTGACCTGTCCGTGCCGTTGACTGCTACGGCGACGCAGCTGGCCATTCGGCCGGCCATACGATGCCGATAAAGCAACGATAAATTGCCAACAGAACTTTTAGCTCTCACCACGACTCAAGCTCTCGGCAGGTCGTAAATATGTCTGTCAGCCGCAGGTTAGGTAACTGCAAAAAACCTTCCATGAGCTCGAGCAAGTCTAACCAAACAGTTTCCCACTTCACTTTGACGAGTCATCCAGAAAATGAGCCCGCTAGTGGNCGCTCTTTATAGCTGTGCTACAGGTGGAGGTGGTTCAGTGGCAAGCCATACCACTAAATCTCAGATTTCGCACAGGTTATCCTCCATAGCTGTGGGATGAAGGACTACACTACAAAATCTGAGATTTGATGGAAGGCCCTTGTTCTATATTCACACAAGGAGATATCCTGAAGTGTACATTGACTGGTCCCCTCTACGCCATCTATAGGGGATATATAGGTTCAATGGAAAACTCAAAACTGGCTAATAAGTTTACTTCTTAGTTGGTGACACCCACTTTACTCGACAAAGAACTTAAATTTCACTCTAAACTCTAGGATAAGCGGATCATTTACGACGACTTTTGGTGCTTCAGAAGTGGTCAGTAGGATCTATGAGGGCCATAGGATAACTAGTAAGTCACAGAGTTTTCTGTAGAGAGACAAGAACGCAGCTGATTTTGACTAACTGCGAAAACCGGAGAAGCTGCAACTCGAAAGTTCGAGGCACACTTTTTCGTGAAATTCAGCTATGCGAAAGTTCAGGAAAACAGAAACCATGAAGTCAGTCCGATTAGGAAGAAAGACGGTGTTTTCTCTCGATAGCACGCCTTTTACCAATGGCTCCCCTACTCATTGTTTCAGTCTTATGAATCATCCTTGATACTCTTTATTCAGAAATCAAGTCCACCCTACTGGGATTTTTCTCAGACCACTGCTCATGTTGACTAGAACCTCGGGAATGCACGAAATTACCTGATCTAGGAGTGTTAGTTTCGAAAAGCGGACATTTTATACTACTTTCTAAGTGACCTCATTCCACTATCTGAAATAGCATAGAGCTTATCACCTACGATCATCGGTGAGCATGCTTTTTTCGAGCATACAACTTAGCTTTCCGTCTGCTCGACTATTGTTTGGGGGCAAAAAAATGCTTGCCAGGCAAGCTCCATTGCATCCTAGTCCTATAAACAAAGCTCGATATCGATTGCTCACAGCTTAATGCAATAACTACTACTATACGCCGTTCTGGTAGAGTGTAAAGTTGGCTTCGTCGATAGGAGATCCCAGGCGTTTTGACGGCAGACAATGCTCCCAATCCCTCAACAACAGCTCAACTCCTCATGGATCAACTGGTGGATCATTTNNNNTTCTAATAGAAAGCCTACCCATGGTACTGACCAGAAATGGGCTTACATCTATTGCTAGGAGTTGATATGTTTCTGCTTTGGGTGCTCTTCTCAGAGTCATCCGCTCTTTTCTTTCCCTTCTGCTTCTTTTCCCACTTCCTTGATGACTTCAGAGGCAAGATCTTTCCCGAACAACACACTCTCCAGTGCCTATTTATTTCGTCCACGAAAAAATACTTTACTACTCTCACTACTAACAAATTACTTTTGCTGAAGCTGCCAAAAAACTTTCCGCCAGCTCCTTCCACTGCTTCCTCAGCTCGATGGATTCGCAACATTTATCATTTCCACCCTATGTTTTTCCTCCTACTTCGATTGCTTTTTCCCTACCTCTTCGAGTTTTTTTTTCTTACTCTACCTCTTCACCCTTTCCCCCTTCATCACCCCGTTTGAGTCCATCAATGCTCTTTTTCCTCCTTCAATCATTTTTTTCCTTGAACAGCTTCCATTACTCCTTCACCTGATCCTGATGGTTCTGCTTTTTTGCGCTTCCCACCCTTCAGTTTTTTTCTCGTGGTATTTATTCTTAGATACTCCTTAATACCGTGGAAAACCGAACGGCTATGATGGACCGTGCTACTCGCAAACTCCTCTTCATCGCTAACCTTTCTGCCTGCAGCAGCTGGCATCTCCCTTCCTCCTTCTCACTATCGTTCGCACGATTTCTGCTCCCATTTTTCATATTTGCGTCCTTTTCCTTTCCATCAAATCCTGTTCTGCGCATTCTCTTTCATTGCATCTCGTACCGTTTGATTTCAGCTACAGCCGCAGCTGTTTTGAAGAATCCTTGTGAGGATCATGTATGTGGATGGGGAAAAGAATGTGTCGTTGGCAAAAAAGGAGAGCCTCATTGTGAATGCATCAACAAATGCCCCGAGCTCGACGGCGATCCAATGGACAAGGTAAAACTTCGACTGAATTTGACAAGATGAACAATCCCTTGGAATTCCCCGATTTCTCGTTGGCCAGGAGAACACCACAGCTTCGAAATGCTCCCATGTCGATCTTCCAGAATACCTCCTGAATGTGGAATCATTGGAAAGGAAAGCAGCTCCTGGGCTTATCATCAATCAAGGGGGTGGGGCGACATTCATGAACATTTCTAATTCGATCAAACAAAAAAGCTTGAGAAAAATGGACAAAATGCAACTTCTCCCTTCCACCTCCACTCCCCCTTCCCACCCCCTCCCCGCTCCCCAGCTGTCAGTGCCCGCCCTTAGTAGGCGGAGTTTGCACGATTCATTAACGTCAATCCAGTTTATCGGAAGAGCACAATATTACAGCGATTTCTCAAAAATTTATGCGAATGAACTTCGTTTGCTGAATGCAGAATATCGATTAACAAACCACATCACAGTCTCTGAAAAGTCGATAATTCCTTTCCCAGCAAAGTTTTACTTCCAGGTATGCGCCAACAACAACGAGACTTTCACCTCTCTTTGTGACTTGTACCGTGAACGTTGTCTGTGTAAGAAAGGGTCAAAGAAGTGCGAAAAGAAGTCCCATGCTAAGGTAATCTTTTTCTTGAATGGTAAACGAATACCAACCTCAAGATATCCCTTTAGGTCCATCTGGAATATCTCGGTGAATGCAAACAGCTCGAGGAATGCACGGATGAGCTCATGGCTCAGTTCCCTGAACGTATGGCCGATTGGCTCTTCCAGGTAAATCTCCCGGTTAATTGACGCCTTAGCAACATTTGTAATGAAGATTGGTACTAAGCAGCTGATTTTCTTTATTATAGGTGATGAAAGAGCTGAAGAAACGCCGTGAACTGCACAAGCTTGAGTGGGAGGAACTGATTCAGGAGGCTGAGATGGATGATGAGAAGAGACACGTCTACCCAGTTATCTGGAAGTTCTGTGACTTGGATATCAAGCCCCATGACAAGGTAACGCCCAATTAGCTATAACTGGACAGCTGCTGAGGAATCATCTTCACTGTTCGGTGAGAGCAACGTCAAGACCACGAAGTTCCGCTCTTAAGGTTGTCACCCACCACGAACTCATCCCAATCACTGCACCAGTAATTCCTATGGAATCATGCATCAAGCCTTTCTTGGAAGGTTGCGATACCGACAATGACGGAACCATCTCGATCCGTGAATGGGGAAAATGCCTAGGATTGAAGGACGGTAAGTAACTGTCACCATTACTGATAAACCGCCTCAGAGATCTATCTCGACTCGTACGGCGTGGCATAAACTACCGTACCTGTACCGTACCAAATCTTAAACTCGTATATTTTTCAGGTGAAATCCAGGAACGTTGTTAGATCATCACATATACGTACTTATTCAAGAATGCTTTCGTAAAACTGCCCACTGCCCTCCTTACCAACATCTACATTACCGTATACAGATACTATGCCTTGATTTACTGTCGTGTTCTAATTGTGTATCCACATAAATAAATTGTATTTATGCCTTGCCCATGAAGTAAACATCACCTCGAAGTGGCGAATAAATGTGTAGAGTTTCCAGGAGTCTCCAGGTTTAGTGTGACGCGCGCGGCCGCGAGACAGCGTCTCGGTTCATCAATCAATATCCCACGAATTTAATCATACTGCAAAACTTGAGACTCAACGACTTGTTGAAAAATCGAGAGGATTTGGTGAACAAGCCTCAAATAAATTTTCTTTCAACAAAATTCACAGAGCCAATTTTATTTGTGTATTCCTTGGGTAATGATATGACATACAACACGTTGCGAGATTCCCTGCGGGATAGATATGAGGTTATTGAATTGGGTTACAAAGGTAGTTACTGTCACAGCCAAATGTCGTAAACATCGAATGTTAAGTTACCTATAGACTGCGAGGTAATATTGTAAGCTCAGAGCGAACGATCGCGACATGGCGCAGTCAACCCATCTATACTCTATGTGCGCCGCTTCGCGACCGCCCGCGTCCAAGACGAGCAGTTACTCGATGGAGCAAAAGGCACATATTATCAGATTATGAGCAAGTTTTAAATACATGTGAGGTAAGTCTTTTCCTATTGAGCGTAACAGTACAGAAATCATGGCCATAAAAAAGACTAGAACAACGTGCAAAGTAAGGCTTTTGCATAATCACCGGCTGTACCCTATGAACTTACGAAATTATGAATTTTCTGGAAAAGGGTTTTCTGAGCAAATCATGATCCCCCCGGCGACGATTGCTGATCTCCCCTCTAAGCACGCTGGGCAACCTTTTGAGCTTCATCTTGTTCCAACGACGCAAACTTCACAAGTACCTTTCCTTTAGGCACATTCTTACCAGGTTCACAGGAGACGGCGGCAACTTTACAATGAGCAGGAGCCCTGAAAACTATTGTCAATGAAGTGTAATACAAGAAATCAAGGTTTCCAGTCCATTCAAAAGGGGAAACTTCAGAAATGTCCAGTCGAGACTATGAGGATACGATAGATAATCCATGTATCACTCAACCAACCCCTTTTAACCTAGCAGCCTCTAGGTCCCGACAGCTAATCGTGCTCAATTATTAAACCTAACGTAAACAACAAACAAGAGCCGGTTGACAATACTTCACAGATCCATGACCTAACCAAAAAGCCTTCAGTACACAACCAGAGTGCAAAAATGAGAGTCTTGATAGGGATTACCTTATAATGTATTCCATTTTCATTGCAGTCATCACCACTAGAGGCTGGCCGTGTTGCACCTTCAAAGTCCAATTTTGAAAAGAGT